AATCTAGTTCCATATCTTATGTTATACTTATATTCCTAACAATACATACTGCTGCCTGTTACTCTATTAAACTATATTACACCATCATGCAAATAAATTTTAAAAGATCTGTAGAAGTTGACAGAATAGGTCAAAACTTTTGATTTTCAAGGATAATTGTATCTTTAGATTTGAGGAATTCTTAGTTTATATAAAAATACACATAATCTGTATAAATTAAGTTAAAGAGATGATCAATAACAGCATTGTACTTTTCTGTTTGAATTTAGTCTTATTTCACTGTTCCACAATACTGACAATATTCAGTTGTTTTTAAAATACATAACCCTTTATCATAATAAATTATTAATTACTTTAAGTCAAATAACCAAATGAAATTTAGTATGTTTTTAGTGTCCAGCTAGCTTTCCAACCATAACAATACTGATACCTTTAGTGTAATAGAGGCAATATATAAGGTATAAACCGAGCTTAACTCTTACTACAGAACTGCCACTTGGCCAAAAACTGTTGCTCTCCTAGTTATACACAAAATTTTACTTGCTAAATATATTAAATTATTCAACTTCTGTTCATCTTGAAATAATCTTTATTAATGAATATTAAAGAACCAAGAGGAAACAAATGTTCAACATATATTAATTGTGCTTTTTTGTATACATTCATAATTAATTCACTTTGAGACAAATAACCAAAGATTGAATGTTACAATAATTTTACTATACAACTTAAACAAAACTGATACCCTTAGGTCAATACTATTTACCATCTTCCCTTTGTTTAAATGATCAGTGGTCAGTACTGTATTATATAACAACTATAGTTAATAGAGAGTATAGACATCATGGTCTTTATCTCTATTGTCACGTGACCTGTTTATTAACTATAGTTTTACTATCGTATACAATTCATAATCTTTATTCTTACAATATCTTTCTACTGATTTCTTCTACGTACACTCTTATTTCTTTATCAAATTTTAACACAAAAATACCAAAATTACTAGATTTCAATTTTCTATCTGATGAAATTTCTATAAATTTATTATTTTTACTTGTTGATTTAAACTAGTCTGTTTTATTGGACCTAGTCACCATCTTGAATTTTGTTGTTAAAAATTATACCACACTTCTCGTTCCCTTTCTCAGTATCGCTTCTCGGCCTTTTGGCTAAGATCAAAGTGTAGTATCTGTTCTTATCAGCTTTGATATTAAACTGATTCTTGGACTTAGGCAAAGAGTTTGGGGCTTGCTCCACCTTTGCCGCGGGTTGGCCTGGTATTGCAGTACTTCCAGGATTGGCCCACTCCCTCTGGGAGAAAAATTCAAAGATAAAAGAGTTTCCCCATTCCTCAATACAGCATAACACTGCTTTTTGTCTCCTTATGTTCAAATAAATAGAATTGTAATCTTCCGTACACATATTCCCTCAAAATATTGTTCATGATTTAAGTAATCATTATCAAATCAAATTTTAGAATTGTGATGAAATAGTTTTCTGTTTGATATCAGAATTGTTAAAAATTGTGTGATTTTTAGGGGAAAAAACTGATGATAGGTATTATATAAAAGCTTTGACTATTTTAGCCCTTTATATTTAGTGCTAAATTTTGCACAATTTTTGTTTTCAGACTTCAAGAGAGATTTATTCAACCATTTAGTGTAGGTGGACCATGTCCTCCAGTCAGCTTTCCTGGAAATCAGGAATTTTTTAAAGAATTTATTGTTGCTGCTTCCAGTCCTGTATTGAATCAACATTTATCTAATATATTTACTGGTAAAATTAAAAAGGTTTGTATGTTAATTTCAATACTAAAAATAAATGGTTATTCGTCAATTTTTTTATTTATATTTTTTGTATTTCATTCTGCCTGATGATTAATTGATGATAGGCATCACGTCTGTGTATGAATATTCATCTCTATGTATTTCAACATACTGTTTCATGAAATTATTCTGTTTTGCAGTTAAACAGTACAGAATTTAGTCAAAATACCTCAGAAGAAAATCAAGAATCAGAAGGCATAAATCAGGTATTTCTTCTTTCTAAAAAAGCTGTTTATTTCCTTTTAATTACACATAAAATCAAACATTATAAAATCAAACTTTACATAATTAAAAGATATTGTAGTTCAGAACATCCTTAAATACCTTTTGTATGATAAAACTTCTAAATTTAAACATTATTTAAATTAAAAATTTAAACATCATTACTATTCAGTTGTTAAGTGTGAGTAGTATATGTCTTTTCGGATATGACGCATTTCACTTCTGCGCATGCGCAGCTTTTTCAACGCGTCATATCCGAAAAGACACAACTGTTAAAATGTATTATAATACACTCCCCAAACTGTTAAAATGTATTATAACAGACTCCCCAAACTGTATTATAACAAACTCCATATAAATTACCCAAACCACAGAC